CAGGACTCAGTTTTGGCCATTCAGCTAAGTGAGGCTGAAGGCTGGGTTGGAAAAGGCAAAGAGACAAGACTTCCAGGCAGGGATGCTCTTCTTTCCACAAGGGACAAGAGCCTGGCGTTTAGACTGCAGCCATGCTGGCTCCCTTCCTCCTCCAGTCCTGTATCCCACCTTGCAAGAAGTCTATTCAATTAGCTTTGGCCACTTCTCTCATTTCTTTCCTCCCAGTTTCCAAACAAGCCCTCAGCGAACATCATTGAAGCATGACTGCCTTCTGCAGGGAGAAGAATTTCATTTTTCTTCTTTGCTGGTCCACGGGTCCTGGGCACAGGGAGAGGGCCAACTGTAGGCAGGGAAGAGGCACAGCTAGCTACAGTTCTCCTTCCGTCTTAGTCTGACGAAGGAGGCTGAACTACAAACCCAAATTCTGCAAAAAATAATAAGCCACAAAACTCAAAAGGCCTGACCCCATCCTGGAAAAGGCAAAGCTGCATGAAACAGCTTTCTGCCTCCTCACCTCTCCTAGACTGGCTTCCTCTTTGAGAAAATGCACAACCATCTGGGAGATGCCAAGCACTAAGACTGATTCAAGCTGTCTTTTTGACCAAGGAGCATTGGAGGATGCCATGGAGCTGCCTTGCTATGTAAGGTCATGGCTACCATCAAGCCTTTTCCGGATGTAGCCATCAAAGACTTGTTTGTGATATGATATACACGTTTGTGAGTGTGGAAGATGTTACCTGTTTTGTCTCCTTTGAAAACCAAAATTGGAGGGCTCTGTTCCAGAGGACAAAGGATTCTTCCAAGACTTGAGCTGGTTGCTTGTATCCTGTCTTCTTTGACATTTACTTCGATGGTAAGATCAGCAGTCTGGGGTTTTAAGAAGACCTGGAAGGTACTTGCCTGTTTTTTAAGAAAGAGCAGCTCTTGGAGTTTAAGTAGCACCTGCTGGGGCAACTGAAAAGGCACATCCACATTTTATACCCTGGGATTGCTGACCCACCACTGTGGAGTGAAAGTTGCTGGAAGGCAGGCCTAAGCCATTCACCACAGACAGGCAGAGCAGCCTGGCTGTCACAACTAGCCTCCAGAGTCTTCATATCTTACCATCTCATCAGGATTCTGTGAAAGCTACCTAGGGTCCTCATGTCCTTCCCTAGAGCCTGAGTGGTATGAGGTGACAGGTCTCTCTCTCCACTGCCCCTTTCTGGTTATCAAACAAACAAACAATGGTGCTTGATGAGGAAAGGCAGACTCTTTCCTGGGACTGATGTGTGACAGCTGCCAAATGCCTGCATGGGAAGAGGTGGAGTCTGCATCTTCCATTGGCAGCCAAGCAGAGCAAGGTGGAGGATGTGCTTGCACAAGCCTGATACACAGTAGGCACTTGGGAAACATTTGTGCTGAACGTTAGAGCACTGGCACCCAAGACAGAGAGCTGAAAGCCATCACCCAATGACCACCCCTTCCTTCCAGTCTTTAAGAGCTCTCAAGGCTGGCTCAGCCACCACTCTGCTTCAGCCATGTGTGGCAGCACAGGGGAGGAGAGACAGGATAAAAGGCAGATGTCAGCAATACCAAGGGCTTCCTCATGGGAGGGCATGAGGCTCCACTCATTGTCTTGTGACTTCCATCCCTGCTGAATGGGGCTGCAAGGCCAAGGTTCCTTAAGGGAGAGGTCCTTACCTCTAATCCAGTTAGAGCAATAACCACTTTTTAAATGCAAAATAAAAAGACAAATGAAAAGGCACATCCTTGTCTCCTGGTAAATGCCCAAATGTTGCCCTCTTTTTCTGGCAATTGGCAGCAAGTCAGGATGTGTGGAGGAGGGAATCAGTTCTCTCTTCCATTTTGGCCTGCAGTTTCTTAGGGACATGCCTGCCAGCCAAGCTGGAGTTGGAAGGGAATTCTTGAACAGATGGGGGTGCACGTGTAGGATAAGAAAATAGCTGCTCCATCATCCTCTTTCTGAGGCTCTCCCGAACCCAGCTTGGGCTGTCTCACTGCATGGGTATGCAGGCTGGTGCCTTTTTAAAAACAAAGGGTTTTCCTCTCTGGATGGGGCTGCATGCTTTCCCTGGCCAAAGGAATGCAAACCCTCCTCACCAGTACCACCCAAGGAAGGAGTGAAGAGGATCTGCAAAGGCTGCTCAGTATTCACAGCCATAGTTCTGGGCTGTTAAAGAGCATCACTATGAACTTAACAGCAAGCTAAAAGTCATGCCATTAGCCAATGAGCAAACCAGTAAATGGGGCACTTCAAACATCCTTGTCTAGGGCCAGAAAGGCGTTGGATAAAAAAATGTCAGATGACCAGGGATTAGATTCAGAAGGTTCTGGAAGTGAAGGGAAAACAGTAAACTGAGGGACACATATAACTCTATGCCAAACATCACAGAAAATACTTCCTAGGCCCAAATGATGGAGAAATCCTCAAGTCAGGATTAGGTAGAGGCAGCTGCCAGTGGGTTTCGGGGAACTATGCTAATAAGGGCTTCTTGTCTTCAGTTTCATGTGTGTCTGTGTATAAAAGGAGCAAATAATGCTCCTTAGGTGAAACTCCATTCCTTCACTGTCTCCCTAAACAACTATTTGCAGATTCAAATCCTGCAGCTAACTTTGGATGTGGTACTTTGACCAGGCTCACATGGATCTGCAGAAACTGCTTACAACTTTGGAAGGAAGGGCGCAAATAGGCTTGTGGGAGGTATGTGGCCTGAGAGGCAGACTTTGCCATCTTAATCTACCTAACATCTGTCACTTCTCTGATGGTTAGAGAAGAGAGGATAACAGAGTCACCCAATCTTTTTTTTTTTTTGTCTTTTTCGTTTTTATCAGTACCAGGGATCGAACTCACGACTGCCTGCTTGCAAGGCAGGCGCTTATGCCGCTGAGCTAAATCCTCAGCCTCAAGTCACCCAATTCTCAAAGAGTATGGGCCAAGGGGTGTTCTAGAAATAAAAGGAGGTCTGAAGGAAGACAGACTGGTGGATGTTTCTGTACGGCAGGATTCTTTTTCTCCTACTCCTATGTCAGCCCCAAGCTTCTCAGTGCAGGTCTCTTAGAATCCACTTCTAAAGATCTCTAATTCACCCTTTCACAGAAATATGTAGTATCTTACCAATCCATTATGATAGACTTCTACTCTCTAACCCTCTTTAAACCTATTTGACAGTTTTTGGAGCTTGCTTTTTAAGAAGTAGCCTCTAAAAACAAATTGCTTCTATAAATGTGACATTCTGCCTCTCTCAACTCCAGCTGCACCGGTTTAAAAAAAAATGTGGCTTGAATCTAAATTGAAGATCTCTGTATACAAATGGTCTCTTGATAAATTTTAGGGCTATTATTTACACTTGGTTAATGGGATCCAAAAGATCACATTCTAAACCAAGGACAAGGTGGCACACACCTGTAATGCCCACTATTTGGAAGGCTAAGGCAGGCAGATTGCAGGTTCAAGGCTAGCCTGGATAACTTGAGACAGTAACTCATAACATAACATATAACATAACATAAAATGGACTGGGGCTATAACTCAGTGCTCCCTGGGTTCAAGCCCTAACACTACTCCCCAGTCCCACCACTAATCACATTGTATCTTCTTCTCAATGGGTGCTAGAAAGGGCCAAATTATTCTGTGTATGGCATGTTCCAGTTGTTACAGGGGAAGAACAGAAGGGAATGAGTGATAAGGCAAGGGATCTGTTCATTAAAGCATTCCAATAGTGATCAGCTGACACTTCCTGTGACAAGTGGGAATTTTTTTCCTGACAGGTGTTCTGGCATACAAATCAAGCATACCCTGAATTCAGCTTAGGGATAATTTTGTTTACTCTAAGAAAAGCAGAACAACACAAAGAGAAGCAGGGAACTGCTTTCTAGTTTTATGTGGCTGCATTTTCTTCTCCTACAGAAGCTCAAAATGGTTTTGTTAAGAGAATGAGCCCCGTCCCTTTTAAAGAAGGTCCATTTTTTCCCTTTCTCATAACATAAAATAAACTGAGGATAGGGGACACTATCACTTCAAAGAATTCAGCCTGGTCTCTGCAACCTTTGATGCCTACAGTAATTCAGTAGTAACACATTGCTAAAAAGGAAATAATTACCAGACAGATGATCATCCACACCTGACAGGAAAAAAATGGATATGTGTAAGAGTATCTCAGACTGAGACAAGAGTATCTAGTAGTTGACTACTCAGCACATTCACACTGAGCCTTATGCATGGAACTGCATAAAAAAAACCTTTTTGACTAGTACATACTAGACAACACTTACAGAATAGCAGGCCGGTAAGCCTGTTCAAATATGTTGCTATCTATTTTCTCAGCATGAATTGAGATTTTTAAAGGCCCTGGCTTTAATATAGGTGATAGCTATTATTGCTTGTCCTTTTATCTTTGCCCCTGGGGATGAGTCCAAAAACTTGGGTTCATAAAAGGAAAGTAAGGAACACTCCCCGACACCTACCCACATTTAGCCAACTTTGACCCAGATTCTTGAAGCAGCAGATTCTGAAGAAGAACAGCCATTAATTTTGTACAGTACTATCAATTCTGGTTCTCCCATCCTCAAAGGGAGGATAACCAGGAATAGTATGGCTTCTTTTTAATCAGTGCTAGCTCTGGGAAACAGACACAGTGGCCAACCAGACAGACATGGGAAGGAATGCAATGCAATGCCTGCCTGAGAAGAGCTGAGCCATCTTTCCCCTCTGCAAAAACAGTAGCACAGTGATATTTCAGGCTCTGCCTATGTCAGGCTCCTGACATGCACCATATGTAGCTGCAAATCCCAATCAATTTCAGAATTTCTTAGCTGCTGGAATACCTTCCTCAACACTGTGATTTACCCTCAAAAGAATAAGGAGCAAGCACTGTCGCCTTCCCAGAACCACATTCTACTAAATGCCACCCCCTTCCCATATCCCACTAACCTACCTACGCAAAAGAGGAAGGCAAATAACCCTCCTCCAAGCCCGCAACAGACGGCTACAGTACATATGCCACTGACAAGAACTTTTATTTCTTTTTAATGACATTAAACACAACTGCTACAAGGGAAAAAACATGATAAAGAGGAGGCACCAAACTTCAGTTTCATAATTGATCCTGACAACAATGCAAGTGAATCAGGGTCTATATTAGATGTAAAAAATATAAAAAGCACACTTTACTGTTTTGTCAAGACTCCTGTGGTATGACTGTCATGGATGAAGAAAGCTAGGTAACAATGCACAAAACCCTTACTTAAATTTTAAAATACAGCTAGAATTCCACCTGAAATACTAGACATACAGGTCCACGCTAAATGTGACATAGGCATATATATTTTTAAGACAGGGTCTCACTATGCAGTTCAGGCTCACCTTGAGTTCACTACGTAGTCCAGGCTGGCCTCAAACCTGAAGTGATCCTCCTGCCTCAGCCTTCCAACTGCTAGGACTACAGGCATGTGTCACTACACCCAGCTAGATAGGCAGCTTTGAAAAGAGGTTAAAACTCCAGATTATACCCATTACCATCTTTAAGGCAAACATGCCAGATAATGAGTTTTCTTTGGCTTTTTTCTTCTTGAAAACCACTAAAGAAGTTCTTTCCTCCCCCAGTCCAACAGATTTAATTAAGCTGCTTAAAGCTTTGGAAAAACAGAATTATTTGAGCTAACAGGAAATGTAAGTGTCACATTGTCTAGTTAACCTGTCACTCATTTGATTTGGCAAAGGGAATGCTTCCTTTACACATTCCATTTAAACCTTCCTGTACTGGGAGGACAGGAACATAAGTCATAGATTTTTGCTGAAGCAAAATATTGTCCCTTCATTCCTTATCTGTGAAGAACTAGACAGATGTAATGCTAGCTACTCCATTTACATTTACTATTAACTATGCTTTGGTCCCAAAGGTGAGTGTCTGGCATGTCTCACTCCATCAGGCCAATTTAGGTCAGTCTGGAGAAGTGACCAATGAAGTAAATGCCAATTATGCCAACTGAAAGAACAGATTTTGACTATGTCTTCAAGTGGAATTTTTCCATTACACTTTAGTTCCAGAATCTAAACAAAATGTCCAAGGAAGAGAATCCTTGACTGGATAAAAACATTAAACACATTAAGCATCTATCCAAATTTACTAGCCGCTTAAATGACCAAACTTTTCCTGTCAGTTTCTAAAGCAGGTGGCATGATTAAGATAGGTTACTAACAAAAATGGGGCTGACGAAACAATAAAACCAGACAGAGGCTACAGCAGTTATGAACAACCTTCACAGAGAATAAATAGCATCAGTATAAACGTCAGACTGCACAATTTCCCAAATGATGTCGAAAACTGTAAAGAGAGAGTAACCAACTCTTAAGACATCCATTAAGACAGATGCACAAAGTCTACCAGCTTCAGTGACAATATCAAACCTCAAGATCCAGTAATACTTTTGTGGATAGATTCAGTCACAATACTATCAGACCCAGGTAGGCAGTTAAGTGAAACTATGTATCAGGGGCCTGAACAAATGAGATGGTAACATCAAGGGTCTATAGATACACGTTAAAAGAGTGCCTCTCCAAGTTCTCTTCCAGAGAATAGAGGTTCCTCGACTAAACTCATACTTAAACATTAAGCTTCATTAGATGAAACTGATGACCAACTGGTTATTTCAATGGCACTGGCCTATCACCAAGTCAAGTGGCAGAGGAAGCTTTTCAACTACAGAGCAGGGAGGCCATTCTAAAGAGGCATATTTAACAACGTACTGGAATACTACCTGTAGATCACCAGGGAACAGTGGTCACTGTGTGGTGTATGGAGGTGTCAGGAGGACAAATGAACATGAAAACAAAAAACAAAAAAAAAAAAAAAAGAAGGAAAATTCCTGAAGAAGGGCAAAGAAGACTGTCACAAGATCACAATGTATTCAACAGGAGTTGGTCAGCAGTATTCGGTCAGAATTAAGACGTGTAAGATCTGTAAACACAATGTGCAAAGTAAGTTTAACAGAAGATGAAGAAAAGCTAGGCCAGGCATGGTGGTACATGCCTGTAATCTTGGCAATTGAGAGGCTGAAGCAGGAGGATTGCTGAGTTCAAGGCCAGTGTGGACTACATAGGGAGCTTAAGGCCAGCCAGAACTACATAGCAAGACTCTGCCTCTAAAAAAAAAAAAAAAAAAAGAGAGAGAGAGAGAGAAGGAGGAAAGGGAAAAAAACAAAGATGATTAAACAGGGCTGTAGATGTTGCTCCTTGGTACAGTGTTTGCTCAGCATGTATGAAGCAGGATGTATTCAATCCAAAATATCTGGAAATAGCAGGGAAAAAAAACAGAGCAGGAAAAAAAAATATCATAGTAGCTTATAAGTACAGAAAACAGGGTTTACATTTTAATTTATCCTTTCAACAGGATTTTTCTCCTACTTCATCTTATTTCAAATATCCTGGACTACCAATTTTAAAATACTGACAGGCAGTCAGAGATTCAAATTTTAAAAGGAAGCAGGTTTGATAAAAGTGACCATATCCACTCACATGCAATCACAATAATTAACACTGGTTTATAACCTGGTAAAGATATTCCTGACAGGGACTGGGGATTTAGCTCAGTGGTATAAGCACCTGCCTTGCAAGCAGGCAGCTGTGAATTCGATCCCCGGTACCGATTTAAAAAAAAAAAAAAGATATTCCTGACAACCCAGTGTGGGAAAAAAATTTGCCAGCTATTCCTCAGACAAAGATTATCTAAAACATTAAAAAAACAAAACAAAACAAAACAAAACAAAACAAAAAAACCTCAAAAATCAAACCCCCCAAATTTAAAGACCCAATCCAAAAGTATCACTGGTCATTTGAGAGATGCAAGTTAAAACACTGCTGAGATTCCATCTCACATCAGAAAGAATGGCCATTATGAAGAAATCAACCAATAACAAATGCTAGAGGGGCCGTGGGGAAGAAGGAACCCTTCTCTGTAGACTGGTGCAACCATCCACAACCATCCACTGTAGACTGGTGCAACCACTATGGAAATCAGTGTAAAGATGCCTCAAAAAAACTAGGACTTAAGGTTCCATTCAATCCAGCTATTCCCCTTCTTTGTATCTTCCTGAAAGAATTAAAAGCATCACACAGTGATACAAGCACACCCATGTTTACAGCAGCAGTTTATGGTAGCCAAATCTTAGAAATGGCCCAAATGCCCATCAACTGGTGAATGGATAAGTGTGTGTTTTAAATGTAATGGAGCACTACTCTACAACAAAGGATAAGCTTGAGACATATCTAGGTAAATGGATGCACTTTGAGACCATTCTCAAAAATTCTCTTCCTTACAGAAGATTAAAAGATGATTTCTTTTGGACACTAGAAACAGACTTCACTTCTGCATAGATGTAGGTGTTCTGCTTGAACCTAGGTGTTGTGGCTTCAAGAGGGGAAGTCAACTTCAATTTAAATTAAAAAAATCCCACAAACTATATCAACTTAACACTGTTTAAACACACATAAACACACAAAATTAGGAAGGTCATCATACTAAAAAAATTTCAGTCTAATAATGGGCACTGCCAAAAGGAGTCAAGTTTTTTAAATAAAATCTTGTGAAAAATACAATTCAAAATATACAAAGAATAAAACAATAGAACAAAAAGAGATACTATTCTGGACAGGATGCTAGATAAGGATCTTCACTGCTGGTGGGATGAGACAAATGGACTATATGAGAAATCTGGAAGACGCTGAAACCGATGGTGGCTGCGTTTGTTCCTCTCAACCCACTGAGTCAGGCTGTATCTTTGCAGAGGTTTCTGTCGAAACCGGGCATAATTTCTACCATAAAAGAGAATAAAAACAGAAAGGATATTTCAGTTGGAATGTATATGACATTTTTTTGTGTATAAAAAAAGTTTAGTACAACAATTGTAAGAATATAAGGGCTGGTATGGTGGCTCATGCCTGTAATCCCAGCAATGGGAAGGGTGAGGAAGGAGGAATTTGGTGAGTTGGAGGCCAGCCTAGGCTAAACAGTGAGTTCAAGACCAATCTGAACGGGGCTGGGGACGTAGCTCAGCGGTATAGCAACTACCTACCAAGCACAAAGCCTGGGTTCAATTGACAGCAACAAAACAAACAAACACCAACCTCAATGACATAGTGGGAAAAGAATTTTTAGGTAGATAGTGTTTTTGATATTTTTTGCACTGGGGATTAAATCTGGGGCCTTCACACTGAGCTACATCCCAGACATTTACTTACTTAATTATTTTACTTACTTACTTATTTTGAGACAGGATCTAGCTAGGTTACTAAGCTGCCCAGGTGAGGCCCTGACTTGTGATCCTCCTGCCTCAGCCTCCCAGAATACTGGATATTTTATATTTTGATTTTCTTAATTTTAGAAATTTCACATTCTTTTAATTATATAAAAAAACACATCATAAATATTATTTCCTTCCAGCTCTCAAAGCTACCACACAAGTATTATGGTGATATGTGCTACATACACATGTTCTAAAGAAAACTAATGTAAAATAATGCCTAAAAATTCACATTCTTCACCCAGAAGTATTTAGGGCAACATCTATACTTCATTGCTTTCATCAGACCTATACTTCTAATAGGCTCTCAATGTTACACAGCTCAAAATTGCTCAGGACATAGCAGCTAAAATTAGAACAAAATTCCCAGAGAAGGTAAGTCATCATATGAATATTACATCACAAGTTTTGAGACTGAATAGCTACTAGCACAGACTTAAAAGCCTCCTTAGGTTGTGTGCTGGGCCAGGGTTCTAAGGCAAGATCTTCTGAGATAAACTTTATTCCATTCTCAATTATAAGACTGCTCCAAATAACTACTTATGAAGCTTCTCCCTTACCCCTGAAACTTTTTAAAAATATGGATTCTTGGCTTCTCTCTTGCCCTAAGACTTAACAATTCAGAATCCCTGGATTCAGGTCTGTTAACATCTGCATTTTTAGATACCTTCATGTTTGGTTATAAGGAATAGATTGAAAACAATTTTAACAGTTATCTGACATTAACCATTACCATATACAAGTATTTGCTGAATTTTCTTGTTTGTTTGGTGGGGATAAAGGGACTTCTAGGGGCAGAACCTAGAGTCTTTGCACTCAGTTATATTCCAGCTCTTTTTTATTTAGAGGTAGGATCTCACTAAGTCCTTCAGGCTGGGCTTGAACTCATGATACTCCTGCCTTGGCCTCTCAGCGTTGCTCAATTTTTAAACCTCATCCCACTTAATGCTAGTAAAATCCTACTAGCAAAGTAGTTAATTTCTCATTAACTCCAAATAGGTAAGAAAACTAAGCCTCAGGTTAAATTGTCCAAGGTCACACAGTAGACTAAGAAGTCTATATGTGGATTCACATCCAACTCCAAAATTTACTTAACAATAATTATACTGCTTCCACCACCACCCAGTGCTGGGATTGAACCCAGAGCCTTGTGTATGTCAGACAAGCACCCTACCACTGAGCCACATGTTACACCCCTAACCCTACACTGCTTTCCTAAGACCTGCTATGATTTTGTCAACTACAGAGGGAACATGAGTGTAAGGATCCTGAAATGAGAACATCTGCTTTAAAAACAGCAAGCAAACCAGCATTAAGTGGAACAGAATGAACAGGAAGAATAGAAATAGAAATAGATGAGGTTGGTTAAGTGTATGCCAACACACACCCCTCTATAGATGACTATGAGATTGGGAAGACAAAAGACAGAAAAACCACTGGAAGACATCAAGCAAAGAAGAGAATCTGATATGCTTTAAAAAAAATACTGTTCTGCCTGCTGAGCTAAGAACAGGCAGCCAAAGGGAAGAAGATGGGAGAACGTTTGCAATAATCCCAGTGAAATGATAAGATCAGGTTCTGGGTATATATATGTATAACATATATGAATTGCTGATAGAACATGGGATGAGAGAGAAAAGTCAAAAATGACCTCAATGCTTTCAAGTAACTGAATCAATCTGTATAGTTATACTGCATCAATATGGATTTTAGAATCAGAAAGACCCTTCAATATCCAGTAATCTAACATCTTCATTTTATTTTTAAAATTTATTTATTGGTACCGGGGATTGAACTCATGACCCCCTGCTTGCAAGGCAGGCGCTTACGCCGCTGAGCTAAATCCTTGGCCCTATTTATTTATTTTTTGAGACAGGGTCTCAGTGTGTTGTTTAGGCTGGCCTTGATCTTACAGTCTGGCTTCAAACTCAGCGATCTTTCTGCCTCAACCTCTCAAGTGCTGGAATTACAGGAATATGCTACCATATCCAGTTCATCATCATTTTATTGACTAGAGAATTGAAGTCACTTGATCAGAATCATACAGCCAGTTAAACACTACCGTTCTCATTCCATTTTACTGCAATGGTTTTTTTTCCAGCCCTAGAATTAAACAGTTACAAATCTAACTCTCCCACACTCCCCCTACAACCGAATTCTACCCTTCTCCTAATCACCCACTCACCGCATGGTGAGATCCGAAGGATGCTGCCGATCCATCAAAGTATATAGCTCCCCCGAGGGACCTGTGATACAGAGGAATCAGTGGTTAGAAAGAAGCTAACAGAACTCTCTTACTTTCTTTCAAAGCATGTATTTTCAGGGAAAGAAAAACAGGCATTGGTCCCAGTAATATTTACTTATGATCATAAGAAGTGAGCATAAAAACTAAGGCAGACTGTTCTTAGAAGATTATGTTGAAGCAATAATGGCAGCCACTATTCATTCATTTAACACTATCTCCTACAATGTAGTAAGGAAATTTATTGGTCCATAAGAATATGATAGAGTACAATACATGATACTTTCCTTTACATGAGCTATGTGCTTCCAAAACTGTGATTAAGTGATAGGAGAAATACAGTCTATTGAGACTAGGGTAAAGGATTAGTGAAAGGCCCTGCAAGGAAAGTAAATTTTAAGAAGAAATCCAAAGGATATATAAAAGTAATGTAGAAGAAAAGTAGGAGATTGGGCAAAGACCCAGAGGCAAAAGACAGCAAAATACATTCAGAATAGAGGTAGTTGCTCTTTGCTAACAAGAAAATTGCTAGAAGTTATTTCTCAAATAACTGGGAGCCTGGTAATATACAAGACCAGTGATGGCAAGCCTTTTAGAAACTGAGTGCCCAAACTGTAACCCAAAACCCACTTATTTATCACAAAGTGCCAGCACTGCAAGTAAACCTGAATACTTTTAAGTTTTAGTTTAGAAAAGCAGCTGTTACCCAATGCTCAGCTGCTGGGTCAACTTGGCTCATATGCTTTACAGAGTGCTCTGCATGTCCACTGTAGCACACGTGCCATAGGTTTACTACCACTGTGCGAGGCACTTCACATTGTGTGTGTGTGTGTGTGTGTGTGTGTGTGTGTGTAGGTGGCCTGAGACAAGGTTTCTCTGTAATTCAGGCTGACCCTGAACTCACTATATAGCCCAGACTGGCATCAAACTTGGAGTGATCCTCCTGCTTCAATCTCCCAAATGCTGGGTCTATGCCACCACACGCAGCTTATTTTATTTACTTCTAAAATATCTTAGATGTTTTGTTTTGTTTATGTTTTTCAGACAGGTGTTTTGACATTTCAGAGATGAAAACTAGTTGACGGAGATGAATTTTCCTTAAATACTTAGAAACCCATAAGTTAACTAGCTCCTATGTGGTACCAGTCTCTTGTCACTATGTGATAATGCTAACTTTGTAACATAAGGGCTAAGACTTGAACTAAAATTCCACAGAAGAATAGACATCACAGATACCCCTGTTTAACGACCGAGTCTCATTCCTGTGACTAAGTTCTTATATGAATTAACTGCTAAATAAGGAATTGTATATAATACAATACTCAGAACAAAGAAATGGTCAAGGGAAACTCTACTTTGATGACTTTTTATTTGCTCTTACATGTACTACAATATATAACGTAGTAGTAGTGTTCTATATGTACAATATATATAGAACATAAAACTATAGTACTATACAATACAGTTTACAGTAATGTATAAACAAGATATATTCTACCAAAAAAATACACTGAAGCTTAAACAAGATGTGGGGCCAGGGATATAGCTCAGCAGCATAAGTGCTTGCCTGGCCAGCGCAAGGTCATGAGTTCAATCCCTGGTACCACCAAAAAAAAAAAAAGACCCTGGCCCTGAATCAAGGCCAGCAACAGCTTCCTGATGCTGTTGGTTTCAAGTAAGTGCCGAAAAAGATGTCTTTCTATGATCTGCTGGCCATTTCAGAACTTGGGCACTGAAATGGTCAATGCATTAGAAAGAAACAGCTCCAAGCAACTTCACCCCCACGCCCATGAGCGGCTATGAGCGTGACAGGCTGCAGTGGCCCAGGACAGGAGCCACTGGCATTTACTGGGACCAGTGCCATGCTGGGACCTGGAGGGCAGGAAATCAAGCAACCCCTCCTCCCCTGGTGAGCAGCTGAGAGCATGGCAGGCTGCAGTGGCCCAGGACTGGAGCCACTGGTGTTTACTTGGACTCGCACCATGCTGGGACCTGGAGCACTGGGAAACCAAGTAAACCCCACCACCACCACCACCACCACTACCACCACCGCCGCCCACCTGTTTTGTTTTGTTGAACTTCAATATACATGAAAGTATGGACACCTATTTTGAAGAGAAAGAGAGACTCTACGACAGCCATTAGTGACTTCCCTATTGTCTGGTTTTGAAGATCTAAATTGCCTTCCTAATTCTGTTCAGATCAGTTTTATACTACGTTGTTTTGTATGAATTCTCTATATGCAAAGACATGGACAACTGTTTGGAAGAAAACAAGAGACAATATGATAGACTGAAGATCTCAGGTTGTCTAGCTTTGAAATTTGAATCTTTTACATTGCTTTCTTATGTCCTATTTTGTTGTGTTTAATTTTACCCCCTTTAAAATAAAAAAAAAAAGAAAAACAAGATGTGAACAGTACCCAAAAAAAAAAAAAAAAAAAAAAAAAAAAAAAAAGATAGGTCTTAAGTCTGAGGGGCAGGTTGTAAGTCTGCATAGTCATTAAACAGGTAGACTGAAAAAAAATTACATTAAACAGAATTGTTAAACAAGGAATATCTGTAGTTGAGAAATAATTTCTCTAAACCAGTGGTTCTCAAACTTACCATAATCAGCTGGTTGTACTATGAAACACATTACTGGCTCTTACTCTGGAATTTCTGATTATGTATGCTGGGTAGAGCCTGAGAACTTATATTTCTTTTCTTTCTATTTTTCTGGTACCAGGAATTGAACTCAGGACCTTGTGTTTGCCACGCAGACGTTGTGCTGCTGAGCTACATCCCCAGCCCAGAACTTACATTTCTAACATATTCTCATAATGCTGCTGGTCTGAGAACCAAACTTTGAAAACTTACCTAAGACTGAAAACTTTGCTTTTACCTAGTTTATATTTTTCTCATTTGCCTTATCTACTACACTTTTCAGGAACCAAGAGCAGTCTTTTCTTAAATTCTAGTAAAATAATTTTTAGGACCAATTTATTTGAAGCCTTAAGGAGCAGAGCTTTGTAGAAAAAATACAAATCCTAGCACTCTTGCTAGGCAGGAAAATCACTTCAAGTTCAAGGTCAGCCAGGGCAACACACTGAGTTCAAGGCCTACCTGAGCTGCATAGTGAAACCCTGTCTCAAAAAGACAAAAAAAAAAAAAAAAAAAAAAGTACTATTTTAAATTAGGCAGATGAGCTGTAATTCCAACCAAGCCACTAACTAGCTTTGTCTCTAAACAAATACTCTTACTTCTTTGAGCTTCAGTGAACTCATATATGAAAAGTAGAGAATCATACTATTTAGTCTGAAGTTGAGTATTGGAAATACTACATACAAAACACATAGCCATTCACTGGTATACAGGAAGCATGCAATGAGTGGCAGCTGTTTTGGCTTGTAGACTACAAATCCTTTGATAATCACCTATTTGTAAGAAAAAATGTTTACTGAATGGATCTATCCATTTATAAACTGTGACATGTTTTATAATATCAGAAATTGTTTTTCAAATGAATGCAGGGTACATGCCTATAATATCAGCACTAGGGAAGTTGAGGCAGGAGAGTAAGTTTGAAGCCAACCTGGGCTACACAGTGAGTTCAAGGCCAATCTAGACTACATAGCAAGAATCAGTCTCTTAGAAAAAATAAACAGGGCTGGGGATTTAGCTCAGTAGCGTAAGCCCCTGCCTGGCAAGTACAAGGTCATGAGTTCAATCCCCAATGAAAAAAAAACAAACTGTTTTCTAATTATGACACAATAGTTTTCAGGAAAAATTAATAGATTTATTTCACTTATTCCACCAGGCCAGACATGGTGGCATGTATATAATCCAGCACTAACGAGGCTGAGAAAGGAGGATCACAAGTTTAAACCCAATCTGAACAATTTAGCAAGACCCTATCAACCAAATTTTTTTGGTTTGTTGAGACAGGTTCTCACTATGTAGTTCAGGCTGGTTTTGAACTCTTTATGTAGCACAGGCTGGGCTTAAACTCATAGCAATCCTCTTCCCTCATGTTCCCAAAGGCTGGGATTATAGGCGTGCACCACCACACTCAGCTAAAAATATTTTAATCAAAGGGATGGAGATGTGTCTCAGTCTAAAGGCCCTGGTTCATCCCCAGTACTTTAAAAAAAAAGTCATTTTGTGGCACTAGGGTATGGTGGGACATACCCAGCTACTCAAAACACAAGATAGGAGGATCACAAGTTTGAGGCCAGCCTGGGCAACTTAGCAAGATCTAGTCTCAAAATAAAATTTAAAAAGTGGCTAGTAATCCCTGCACTCTGGAGGCTAAAGCAGGAAGATCACAAGTTTGCAGGCAGCCTGGGCTACAAAGTGAGTTCAAGGCTAGCCTGAAATGCATAGTGTCTCAAAAAACACAATAAATAAGGCTGGGGATGTAGCTCAGGGGTAGAATATCAGACTAGGATGGATTATTTGTAGACCATGGCCTTCAACTCAATCATCTTTTACCACATGGATTCTACAAAATTGCCTGGGGCAATGGAGTCCTATTCACCACCTACAAAAAAAACGCTTTTTTTCCTCCCCAATTGTTTTTGAGACAGGGTCTAGCTACGTAGCCCAGGCTGGTCTGGAACTCATGATGATCTTCCTGCATCAGCACCCCTCACCCCCCCCCCCCAAGGTGTGGGCCACCACAACCAGCAACCTATTCCTGTTAAAGAAAAGAATAGCTAGGTTTGGCCCAAGAAGACAATTATTTAAATATTCAACTGCTAGGAGTGGAAATCAAGCAGCAGCAATTTACATAACACCGTATTACCAAACACTCTGTATACTTATTTCAACTCATTGAGACTGTATAATCTTTTTTTAAAAATTTGATTAATTTCTTATTTTTATTAAGATTTGTGAATTTTCTTTTTTTTCTTTTTTCTGTTTGTCTTTTTCCTTTTTATCGGTACCGGGGATCGAACTCATGACTGCCTGCTTGCAAGGCAGGCGCTTATGCCGCTGAGCTAAACCTCTAGCCCTGTATAATAATCTTAAAAGTTTTTTCCCCATTTTACAGACAAAACTAAAAAAAATTATTTAAAAACTGATATACAGAAAAATAATTTACCAAAGGTCACACAGCTAGTGACAGAGGGAGAATCCCAATGCAATATTACCATAAATTGGGTTTCCATAAAATATTTTTTGAGACTGACATTTCAGTGTAGATTGGGAAGCAAGAATTATAATACGTCTCTTGTACACTTGGTACCTAGCACAGTGCTGAGCAAACATTTGTGTAACAAAAAAAATGTTAGTTTGGGCCAGGGATTTAGCTCAGTGGCATAAGCGCTTGCCTGGCAAGAATAAGGTCATGAGTTCGATCTCGGGTACAGCAAAAAAGTTAATTTTCATGAGCACTAAGAACTTGCTGTGTGGCCAGGGATATAGCTCAACGCAAAGTTTTGAGTTCAATCCCTGGTACCAAAAAAAAAGGAACTTGCTGTGAGAGTAGAAATATATACATCTTTGTTTGTTGGAGACAAGTTTTTCAGTATGCATTTCAGGGTGGCCTTTAACCTGCTATGATCCTCCTGCCTTAGTCTTTTGAGTGCTGAAATTATAGGCATACGTCACCATGCAGGCTAGACTACACTTTTTTTTTTTTTTTGAGACAGGGTCTCGCTATGCAGTTCACGCTGGCCTTGAGCTCAACTTTGTAGCCCTGGCTGGTCTTGAACTCAAAATGATCCTTCTGCCTCAGCCTTCCCGAGTGCTGGGATTACAGGCGTGAGTCACCACACCCGGCTTTGACTACTCTTATTTTTAATAATACTTAATAATCAGAGATAGGACCAGGGATTTAGCTCAGTGGTATAAGTGCCTGCCTGGCAAGCCGGCAGTCGTGAGTTCGATCCCCAGTAAGGCAAAAAAAAAAAAAAAAAAAAAAATCATCTAGACATAATGGGAGCTAACATTTATCAAGTACTACTGTGCCAGGTTCATGGCCAAATACATGTATTCTATCAAACATAGAAGGCAAGTACCCTAATCTCTATTTTATTCATGAGTAAACTGAAGCTGGTAAATATACAAATTTATCATTTAGTAAATAGGAAAGCTAGGATTCAAACCCAGGTAGGGCTAATAATCCAAAAAATTTATTTTAGTGCATAGCTTCAACCTCTTCTTACTCCTAATTTAGAGATGCTAACAAGAATGTGAACATTTAAATTTTTCATCTCTTCATAGTTTCTAACAGATGGGCTTTCTTGGACCAACAGTCAGTACCATAGGTTTATTTTAGGCTGTGGCTAAAAGGTGGTAGAAGACTGTCCTTTGTTTTGTGATTAAGAATAAAATTCATCCAAGAATGAAATTAGGAGAAAAAAAAATCCCCAAAATTTTAGGATTGAGATCAATAATTTGTCTATACCTTAACCTATTGACTGCTTTTGAGGTAAATTCAGTTTAGTAGTGGGCCAGGCATGGTGGTGCTTGCCTGTGATCTCAGAATTTGGGAGGCTGAAGCAGCAGGAGGACCACTGCAAGTTCAAGGCCAGCCTGGGCTACATGGTGAGTTCAAGGCCAATTTGAACTATATAAGAAACTCTGTCTCAAAAAAACACAAAAAAGGGCTGGGTAAAAAAAGGAGGGAAAGGCTGATGATGTAATTCTAGGATCAATCCTCAGCACTGCAAAAGTAAATGAAAAAAGGAAAAAAAAAGTTGAATTGAATTAACTGTTGTATCATAGGCCAGGATATATAGCTCAGTGGCGTAAGTGCAAGGTCCTCAGTTCAATTCCT